CAAATAAACATTCGAAAAATGTGTCAAGCACAATAGGCATGGTTTAACTTAAAAAATCATAATATTTAAATATAATCGTAAATATTTTTCCAAAAACCATAACTAGGTTAGGACAAAACTAAGATTTTAAACCCATCCCATAAATTCTACGATTTTCAATTTAAAATTCAATAATAATCTTCACATAAGCATTATAATCAACTTTCTAGAAGAAATTGGCAAAATCTAAATATTTTTGAGGTTTTGGGTTCAAATCCAAATACCTTCAAATTTTAAAAATATTTTTTTATGCATTAAAAAAAATTAGACAAAGTTAATATTAATAGTATTATTGATATTTTGTATATAAAAATATTAGGAAATTGATTTTATTTAATTATTTATATTTTATTATAGATAAAAAAAATATATTATTTATACATATTTATGGACCCCTAATTTTTGTTTTAAGATTGTTAATATTAATACTATTATTGATATTTTATCTAAAAATTCTAAAAAAATTATTTTATTTAATAATTTATATTCTATTATAGGTAAAAAAAAAAAAAAAATTGGAGTAGATCATTTATATATATTTAGAGATTTTTTATTTTTGTTTTAATTATTTTTTTTGCACTAAAAAGATAATAAATATTAGACAAAATTATTGTTATTATTATTAGGCAAAATTATCAATAACTCATTTATAATTTTGAAACTCAGTGTAATTACTTTAAAAATAGCATGAACCCCCTTATATTTTAAAAAATGTTCCATTAAACTCATTTTTATATTTTTTTGGTGATAAGAAGATGACTTTTCATCTATATTTTTTTTGTATAGCAGGGGTTTCATATAACGTTTGTTAAAATATAAGGGAACCTTACGCAATTTTTAAAATTTATGCTAGAAAAAATGTTATTTTTTATTTATATTTTATTATAGGTAAAAAATATTATATATATATATATATATTTAAGGGCCCCTAACTTTTATTTCGCCCCGGGCCCTCGGAAGTCAAGAACGGCCCTAGGAAGAAGAGAGGAGGGGTTGGACGGCATGTCTGCTGGCTGGCTACTTCTTTTTTATTTTATTTTATACTTTATTAAACATAAAAGACTTAGACTCATCCTCTATATATATACAGGCACTCTAACTTAGATACGCTATATCTTAACAAACTATGGATACGCTATATCTTATCAAATTCACACTTGGATATGATATATCTTAACAAACTGCGGATAAAGATATCTAAATCAAGAGATATGAATAAACTAAATCTAGTTTATTATTTATTTTACCCAAAACTCAATTTTACTCTTAATTTAAAGCAAATTCCTTAATTTCTTACACCAAAAGCCTAAAATAAATTAGGCCCAAAATAATATTGTCCGACTCCGGCGTCGAACTCCGGCAAGTTCCGGAGAACTTCCGGAGAGTATTTTTACGGGGTATTACAGCATCATCCCTTGAGCCAGACATTCCCTTAATAGTTAGTTATCCGTTAATTTAATTGTTTTGTTATTTTATCTTCATTAGTTAATAAAAGAAAATTCGCCCATTTTATTTACTGCAATAGAACGCGAAAGAGTGAATCACAAAATCCCTGTGAAGACGATCTCTTCCCCTGTATTACATTAAATTGTGATCACGGAATAGATAAAATAATTGATTGACCGTGCGACAGGTCCGATAGATATATATATATAATCTATAGCATATATACTAAATTAAAAATTTGAGAAAATATTTGAATATATATATAATACTCTCTCCATTCGGCTTTAAGAGTCTTATTTACCTTTTGCGTCATTGTATTAATATTAAAAATATTCTTATATTTATATAATTTTTTGCACAAATTTCATTATTATAGTACTATAAGACACTAATATAAGTATTTCTTGCTTTTTTTTTTCCCTTAATTTGTACTATATTTTCATATAATACTTAATATTCAAATATTAACACACAAAAATTAAATGGAACCCTTAGAGACGGATAGAGATATTACGATATAAGTAGACTAATATATAAGATAAAGTTTTTCATTAATGAAGGATTAAATCATTTTAGAATTGTAAAATTCCTAAATTTCAACAATTTTCTATAAATAAATTATGTCTTAAACTAAAATGATCAAATTACTCATTTTCCATTTAAAATGAGTTTTTTTTTTTTTTTTGTTTTTTTTAAGAAATCTAAATTATTGTTAGTTTATATAATACTATAATTTATCAAAAATACATTTTTATTAAAAAATTCTAAAAAACTCTTAAATATTGTGGTGTTAGAAATTAAGAACGGTGGGACCATATCATTCTAATAGATATATATATATATATGTATTTGTAGGAAAAATTGCAAAAAATATTCCACACTGGAAAAATATATCTCATGTGTTTGCAAAAATCGTTATTTCTATCATTTGGTCGCGCATGATAGCGCGTAACCGCGTGTGTTGTGAATGTCACGCGCGGACAAAGGACATAAATAATGACTTTTGTAAACATAGAGATATATTTTGCCAGCGAGATAAATATAGGACAAAAGTTATAATGGCGTATACATGTGAAATATTTTTTACAATTTTCTATGTGTATGTATATGATATGACTCATTAAAAAGATAACTATATTTGACATTATAAAAGTTTGTCGCAAACATTGGCAACAACTATAAAAAATATATAAAATTTTAAAAGTTATTAATACTCCCTCCGTCTCAGATACCATATCCACGTTGCCGTTTCTGTCCGTTCTACATACCATGTCACTTTCATTTCTTGGAAAATGATTACACACTTTAATCTATTTTAAATTTTTAAATTTTATTTTTTTAATTTTAATTAAACTAAGTAGTTATCTTAATCTTAATTTATAATTATTTATATTATAGGATAATTATTTTCACTAATACATTTTTAATTATCTACTAATTACACCCCCCTAAAATACCGTGTCTACAGTGTAGCAGACACGGTATCTGGGACGGAGGGAGTAATATTTTATAAAAAATTAGAAAATTATCTAATTTCTTAAAATATATTTTTCGGAATAATGTCTTATTCAAAAAATTCATGATAACTAAAATAAAAAATTTAAATATTGTCGCAAAATACAGCAACAAATTAAAGTAATAAATAAAACATTGTCGCGGCAAACCGCAACAATATGTAAGGTGTATTTTATTAAAATTATTGTCGCGAACAACCACAATAATGCATAATTTTTATTTTTTATTTTTATTTAAAACTATTGTCGCGGAAAGCTGCAACAAATTTGAAAACAATAAATTTATTCCTTATTTTTCGCGGACAATTGCAACAATGCATTGTAAATAAACTTTATTAAAAACTATTGTAGTGAAAAGTTGTAAAAAATTTGGAAACAATAAATTTATTTCTTCTTGGTTGTGGCCTTCCGACAAATAGGAAAAAATAATTATTGTAACAAGGATTATTGCGGAAGTCCGCGACAAATAGGAAAAATTAATTATTATAACAAGGATTGTTGTGGAAGTCCACGACAGTTAATTTATATACTATAATTTTTATTAAATTTTTAGTAAAAGTTGTGACAATGGATCATTCCGTGACAAATTTTTCGCGACAATATTATAATTTTCTAGTAGTAAATTTTTTTTTTCAATTTTAATATAACAACCTCCATAGATTTTTACATATGTCTTTTTCCAAGGAGTATCGTCATTAAATCTAAGATGTGAATTGTGTGTCCACATAACAAATCAGACTATAGTACATAAGAAAAACAATCACCAATTTGGTGTGTTTGTTTGGGGATTGGATTGGATTTACACTATTCATCCATTTTTTTTTTTTTCCAAAAACATCAAATCAAACACCTATTTTTCATTTTTTATATTATACTAAAAATCAATTTTACATTCAAAACATCACATCAACACCTATTTATATCACATCATACAACTATTCAAATTCAAAATTTTTACTATTCAAATCCCAATTCAAAATTCAAACCTCCAAACAAACACACCCTTAAGTTGTTCTAAGATAGGATAACTAAAGCTAGAAAGAATTAATTAGTTTATTAAACACCTACCTCATCAATATACTTTTTGTATTGATTCCAAAACAGAGAAGAGTTAAGTTTGATGCATGGAATCATGGTCGATTAAGGACGATGTTGGTCTATACGTATAACTATGGACGGCTCTTAGCAAGAGGAGAGTGAGCCACTGGGTCCAAAATATAAGAAGAGCCTAAATTTTTAAAAGTTTTAATCTATTATTATTAGATATATTAAATTTAAAATTTTATTTTATATATATTTTATAATTATTCAATTCAATTTTCTTCTAAAATTTAAATTTAAATTTAAATTTTAATCAAACATTTTTCCAATTGACCTCTATCTTATTCCTAACCATGTCTACTCTATCTTTTTAATTGTAAATTCAATCGCCGTTCATCCACCTAAAGATTTTGTAATGAATGATATATATAGAGTTCATATTTATTATTATTATTATTATTATTATTATTATTATTATTATTATTATTATTATTATATTGTTGGTGTTGTTATTATTATTGGATTATTATTTTTATTATTGTCAAAATATTATTTATTTTCGACTAATGATATATTTTGTAAGTATGGTTGTTTATTGAATTATAATTAAAATAATTTTACTTTTGTGGAATTTATTATTATATTTATCGATGATATTATTTAAAAAATATATTTATCATATATTTATAGGGTCTGCAATTGGAGTCGGGACGGCCTGCGTATAAATGCCATTAGGTTTCCTAAAACCTATCATCAATATATATTTTTTGTATTTATATGCTATTCAATATATATGAATATGTATTTATATATATATTTATATATTATTTTTACTAATTTTCATCAGAAAAGTATATCCACAAAAAAAAATATCATATAAAATATCCAAAACAGTGATGATAATAATATCCAAGCAAGCAAGCAAACAAACCCTATCCTATTGCTTATAAATGTCTCCAAAAGAAAGCACAACCACACTATACAATTAAGAACACACACAAAGATGACAACACCTTTTGTTGCCTTTATCTCTCTCACTACCATCTTAGGGTTTCTCCTTCGCTTTCTCATCAACAAGCTCCGGCGCGGTGGCGGAGGGCTTCCATTGCCGCCGGGGCCACGACCATGGCCAATAATTGGGAACCTCTTTCAATTAGGAACGAAGCCCCACCAAACATTGGCGGCCATGGCACGGGTTCACGGGCCCCTAATGTACCTCAAACTAGGATTGGTGCATGTGGTGGTGGCCTCGTCGAGTGAGGTGGTCGAGCAATTTCTGAAGGTGCACGATTCCAACTTCTTGAGTCGACCACCCAATGCGAGTGGTAAATACGTCTATAATAATGAGGATATGGTTTTTAGGCCGTATGGGTCGCGATGGAGGTGGCTTAGGAAAATTTGTGCCCTCCATTTGTTCTCGAACAAGGCTTTGGATCACTTCACTTATGTTCGAGAGGTAAATAGTTATGAAACCATTCCCATCTCTCTCTCTCTTACTCTCTCTCTATCACTCTTTTATATACATATATACACATACGATCATGAGCATGAGCGAGAGTGTGGATATAGAGATCACTATGTAGAGAATAGCTCTTTCTCTCCCTATATATATAGTGAGAGTTTGTACATGGACATCACTATAGATAGTGAGAGTTCATGGATCTCTCTGTATATATAGTGAGAAATAAAAAGATTTCAAATTAAAATTAATATAATCGTACATAATTTTTAATAAAATATTGTATTAAAATATTATTTAAACAAAAACTTAACTTACACTTCATTTCAAATTAATTTTTAAACCACAAACAAAACAAGGTGTACACAGGGACCAATTATTTCAGAACTGTGCTTTGAATAGTATAAAATATTTGTTTAGCCTAGTAAAAAATTATGATGAACCAATTATATAAGATAAAGTGTAAATCCGTTAAAAGTTTATGTACTATATTGCAAAAATATATTAAGATCACACAAGAAAAAACATTTAATCATTTTATAAATTTAAAAACTTCTGAATAATAGTGTAAACCAATTGACTCATAAGCATTAAACTTTATCTTAATGCTATATGTGCTAATATATAATAGGCATGTTCTAGACAAATTGTATACACAAAAACTTGTTCTAGACAGATTGTATACACAAAAACTTGTGTTTGCTTTGAGTTTTCATTATTCTCGTTATAAATTTTACGCATATTTTTCAATAAAAATATACTCCCTTTGTCCCATAACTATAGTCTTAATTTGGTTGGACACGAGATTTAAGGAATATTGATATTATATTGGCAGTTGGTAAAAAGCATGGATAAAAGACTATTTTGCCCTTGTGAGTGTATTAGTGTAAAAAGTAGTGGCAATTGTATAATAAAAATGAAAAAGTAGGTGTAGTTTTATGGTGATATGGTTATTTATGAAAATAAGACTATTGTTTTAGGACAGACAAAAATAATAAATAAGACTATGTATTGGGACGGAGGGAGTACTATATATATATATTCATGAAATATCATATCAAACAATTGTTACACAAACTCAAAACACAAATACAACATCAAACCACATTGTGTGGTTTTAGAACAATTAATGCACAAACTCAAGCAAAAACTAGGATAACATAGTCGGAAAAATTACAAATAATATAATATATATATATATAGTTAATTGTCACTCTAGTAAAATATATCTTACATGTGTCACAATTTTGATATTTCAAAACATTGATCACACATGAATTTGTATCACAATAGCAACTTGCACTTCATGTACACCCTAACAAAATATATCATGTACCCACATATCATTCAATGACAACTGCGTATAAATTCTGAAAGTTGTAAAACTCACGGTCATGCAAAATTAAATAATAAAAACAATAATAGAGACAATATATTTAAACAAATATCTATGGGGGATGTTTGTATGTGTTTTAGAATATTTTGATTTATTTTTTTTAATAGAAATAATTTTAAAAATAAATATGTTTAACATAAAATATTTATCTGTTAATTGAATATTAAAAAAATAAAAATAAAGATACAAACACACTTTAGATATTTATACTAATTACTACTATAGATATTAATTATTTTATGAAATAGTTTTTTTTTTTTTTAATAGATTTCACTAAAGGTTTGTTTAGATTTTCGGAAGTGTTTGGGAATTTTGAATTAATTTTAGAATAATAAAAAAAAAATTGAGGAGAAAATAATTTTTAATGTGACATAAATACATATTTATATAATATTTTGAATAGAAAATATACATCCTATTTACATATTAAAAAAATATAAATTTTGGAGCTACTCATCTTTCGTACCATTAAAAAAATATATTATATGAAATACTTATTTTCTTTTGTAAAATATTGGGAAAGATTACAATACTGAGTTGAAAAAATCAGTTCCGTATGTTGTTTGTAATAAATGAGTGTCTTGCATATTTATAATTATAACATGTATTTTATAAGATTATATCACGTGTTAAAATCAATTGTTTTTATATAATATTAGTTCATGTGTTATATTAATATAAATGATATATTATTTATAGTAATATATATGTGTTATCTGTTAGCACCTAGTATGCTGTCACAACACGGTGCTAAACCGTCACCTAAAATATCACATAAAATACTAATTTTTTAGTATTTTTTCAAAATTTCAAAATTTCCATAAACTATATATATATAATACATATCTAAATGGAGATTTGATTTTTTTATGTTTTAAATAAAAATTAATTTTAAATGATATCTTTTTAGTAATTGATTCTTCTTTTTTAAATAGTACAAAAATAAATTTTTAAATATGGTAAACATAGTGTAAAATTTACAAGTATATTCTCCTAATATTATCAATCAATATATATAATATATAAATAATTATACAGAAAGAGGTAGAGATTCTCTTGAAAGCTATATCAAGCACCGGTCCGGCGCCGGTTCATTTAGGGAAGATGGTGAATGTGTGCACCACCAATGCACTAGCACGTGTGATACTCGGTCGACGGGTAGTTGGCCATGGCCAGGGTTGCGGGGATGGCACCGCAGAGGAATTTAGAGGAATGGTACTCGAGTTAATGTTGTTGTCGGGCGTGTTTAGTGTGGGCGACTATATCCCTCTCCTCGAGGGCTCCGACTTGCAAGGGCTCGCTGCCAAGATGAGGAATCTTCGCGAAAGATTCTATGCATTTTTTAGTTCCATTATCGAACAACACAATGCCAACGGGCCTCAAGGAATGGACGGAGACGTTGATCTATTGAGTGTGTTGATTTCGTTGAAGGAGGGTCGCGGTGGCGGTGGCGGTGATGAAGCTGAAACGATTACTGATGCCGAAATCAATGCTTTATTTTTGGTAAGTTTTTTTTTTATTTTTATTTTTTTTAATGGCTTTATCTATGTCAAAATTTCGAATTATAAGGGATGAATTTGGTGTTGTGCCCTATATATATATATATATATATTGGTAAAACTGCAGAAATCTACTTGTAGTTTCACACATCTCCCATTTTTCCAAAATTACGTCAGACTTCCTCATAATTTCATAAATCTGCGTCTAACCCCCAGCCGTCCACAATTGACCGTATTTAACATACATGCGCCCAAACTGCAAAAATAGTTAGAAAAATTCGATTGCACCGAGCTTCCAGATTTAGACACCCTATTTCCTACCTACCGATCAAAGTTGCGATCGGAAATAGGATGTCGAAATCTGGAAGCTCTGTGTTGTCATCGACTTGTTCTAACTAGTTTTTTTTTTACTATTCCTTGAGGCTAAATAGAAGATGATGGATATATTGGTAATTCTAGGAGTTTAGAAGTGGAGATTATACAATTCAATCGCAATTTAGGCACGTGTAGATCAAGCACCGTCAATTGGAAACCGCCCGAGGGTTAGACGTAGAGTTTATGAAACCACAAAAGAGTCTGTCGCAGTTTTGAACTAATAGGAAAGTTGACGCAATTTTCTAAAACCACATGTGAATTTTATGCAGTTTTGCCTATATTTATATCAAAGGTAAATTGTTTGTTTTAGTGTTATATATATTTTAACCATTTATCATTTTAGTTCAATAGGAGGAGTATGTATGTGTACATTTAGTCCTCCAACTACAAAAATTTGGCAGACATAGTCATTCGTCACTGGAATCGCCATGTTGTTGTTGAGTAGTTTTGTCGATGCTCATGTGGTGATTCTATTGATAAAGGACAATTTCTGCTAATTTTTTGCCGTTAATGGACCAAACTTCAGGTACTACGCTAAAATGATAGAGAATTAAAAAAAAAATTTTTTTAGACATTCTCTAAAATAAAATCTTTATAATTAATGGTCATAGATATCATAATTTTGTGACCATTAGCAAGAAGCCTTGGAGCAACCAAAAGTAAATACATGATTATTACATATATAAGTCTACTTTAAAAGATTAGATCAATCATACTATAAAGTTGAGCAAAAATCATTATTAGTCCCGTTGAAATTCAAATTTTTCATTTTTGGTCCCATTGAAAAAATTTATCAAAATGAGTCTCATACAAAATATAAAATATCAATTTTGATCTCATTTTTTAAATTTTAACGGATTGTATTGACGTAGCTGTAACGGAAAATTAGGTGACGCTGAATCAGATCGAACACGGCCGTGTTTGGTATAAATACGCCCGTGTTCTAATATCTATATTTAGAAAAAATAAAAACTAAAAGTTTTACATTTTTGGTAAAGAAAAAATAAAAAATAATATTTTTTTACTAAAAAATGAAATGAGAATAAATAGAAATGACAAACAAAAAAGAAAAATAAGAATAGATTTAAATGATACAGGAAGTACTTATATAATGTAATATAAATATATATAATATGATATTTTAAATATAAAATTAAATTTTAATATAATATAAAAAATAAATATTTTATTTAATATATTTTAGAAAAAAATTAATGAATAATAACACACTAAGTATTTACTAATTTTTGTACAATTAATATTTTTAGTATTTTTGAAATTTATATTTTTCAAAAAACTAATTATTATACCTATGCTACTATCTCTACATATTTTATGTATTTAATAAGCTAGCTACCTACTTGCATCTATCTATACATATATATATATATATATATGACATATAAACATATGTTATGTGCGTAACAGAGCATGGCCGCTCAGTGTCACAGTAGGTATGGATCATAGAACACGGGCCGTGTTTAATTATGCTATGATGAAACAACTTTAAAGTCTAACACGGTTGTGTTTTGTGTAACATGGCCGTGTTCGATTTGATTCAGCCGCCACTTCAGTTTTCATAACAGTCACGTTAGTACAATCCGTTTGAAATTTAAACGATGAGACCAAAATTGATAATTTATATTTTGTATGAGACGATTTTTTATAATATTTTTTGAGTGGGACCAAAAATGAAAAAACTGAATTTCAATGGGACTAATAATGATTTTTGCTCTATAAAGTTTCTAATTAGTTTAATTTAGTGAGGATTTGGATTACTAATTATATATATACATTCTGAAAATATATTGCATCGATACATAACATTATTTTTTTGCCAATTTAGTAAGTTTGTGTGGTTTCTGATATGATTTTACTATTTCAATTTTTTCCTCTAAAAAAGTATCAAATCGCCTAGTTTCATTTTACTATTATATTATATTATATCAAAATTTAATTTTACATTCAAAATCACATCGATACATATTTATATCATATCAAATAATTATTTAAATTTTAAAATTATATCATTCAAAACTAAAATCCTACAAACAAATACACATAGATAGCATTAATATTTCAAAGTTCTCAATATTAATTAATAATAAAAATTCCAAAAGCTTTTAAACAGTAAGAGAACACAACCTATATATATATATATATATATATATATATTGAGAAACCACGAGCTGATTTATTAAGAGGGAATAGAGGCCACTTGGAGGGCCGAGTTTTGGAATACAAGGACTATATATTATTTGAAACAAACAACTTTAGTTTATTTCTTAATCGAATTAATAAAAAATGATTGTAGAACTTGTTTGCGGCTGGCACGGATACAACATCAAGCACAGTGGAATGGGCGGTAGCAGAACTCATTCGCCATCCAAAAATCCTCGCCCAAGCTCAAGGCGAGCTCGATGCAATAGTTGGTAGGGATCGAGTTGTGACCGAACATGACTTGGGAAATTTACCCTTTTGCCAAGCCATAATCAAGGAAACATTTCGTCTACATCCTCCCACACCACTCTCTCTTCCAAGAATTGCGGACGAGAGTTGTGAGGTTAATGGGTTCCTTATTCCCAAAGGCTCTACACTTTTGGTTAATGTTTGGGCCATAGGCCGGAATCCAGACCTATGGACCAATCCACTTGAGTTTCAACCAGAGCGATTCTTGGAAGGTGGAGAAAGACCCAATGCAGATGTTAAAGGAAATGATTTTGAATTGGTACCATTTGGAGCCGGTCGAAGGATTTGTCCCGGGGTAAGCTTAGGCATTCATATGGTACAACTATTGACGACAAACTTGATACATGCATTTAGCTTTGATCTATCCGACGGGAGGGCGTGTCAAACATTGAACATGGAGGAATCCTATGGGCGAACATTGCAACGGGCCGAGCCCTTGACGCTGCTCCCGAAGCCCAGATTGGCACCTCTTGTGTATGGAACCGAAGCAAATTAATTGCCTCTTTGAGAACCATAAACTACACAAGCAAATTATGAAGAAGGTGCGGTGTGAATATGTATTGTCAAAATCGTTCTTGGCTTTAAATGTGTACTTGTACTTGTATGCGATGAGATTTATTATATTATGATTTAAAATTCTATCATATGTTTGGTTGGTAACATTATATGGAATTTATATTTCTCACGTCTTGTTTGTTTTTTATATGAGTGGAAGGATTTGGATTTCTTATATTCTAAATGACATAATTGTCCCCCCTATATATTTTATTTATTTTGATAAATTAAACATCTAATTTATAATAAATATTATGGGTATTCTAATTGGATCCGAATCGGGTCTAGGGTCTAAGTGGACCATACCCACACCCGGACTCGATTTATAATATTAATAATATATCGACTATACATATGAAAAAATAATTTCTAAAAATATAATTATATTAAAAATATTTTTTTTAAGTTTAATTTATTTATTATTTTATTATAATATTTTTTCATAAAATACATAAATAATATATATTGGTCGGTACATGTGTAATTTTCAATTAAAATTTAAGAATCGTAAAAAGAATTGGATTTGTTATATCCATCAGGTTTTATCGGGTATAATTTCGGCCGGATCTGGTCTAATCAGACCCAATTTGGGTCTCAAGTCTAACAATATATATTCGGGACGGATTTCAGTTTCGGCTGAATCTGACTTATTGTCATCCTGATAATTCTATAATTTAAATAAAATTTATAATAAATAACAATTTAAAACAATTTAATTCTATAATTCAAATAAAAATTAATTTTAAAATTATTTAATGTAATTTTATATAAATATATTTATAATATATAATATATTTTTTATATAAGGATATAAAAGTAAAATTTAAAAGTAACAGGGTAGGTACCCCATTACCAATAAATAATCCTGTTTTTAAATCTCATTATTTTAAATTTCATTATATTTTTTTTAACCATACATGGATTTAATTGAAATTTTAAAAAATACAAATCTCATGGAATTCTATCAAATCTTTGAAACATACCGCCCTTATTGTTTGTTTTATGGACTGGACTTTTTATAAATCAAATGCTGTATATAATATATATATATATATATGTTCTCTTTAAAGCATATTATATCAAAATATTAATTCACACATGTCTGAGCAGCCTCTTGATGATGACACCAATACCGTGACAAGAGACAAGAGACCACTTGGATGAATTATTAACAACAGAGGCACTCGATTTCTGCGTAAGGCTAGATAGAATGCCCCCCTGCCCACCACAAGTCAATACACTTAGGATGTCCAGATCCATCCTGACAAAGGGCAACCAAAGAAAAAAGACATAATATTCATATACGAATCTTTTCAGTTAGCACATCTTTTTCATATCTCAACATAGTGACCAATTCATTGATGAACTACAATACACGATTTTTTTCGTCCCGGGCCGGGCCGACTCGATACCAAATCGTGCTGGGCCTGCACGGCTCAATTGAAAGTCGGGCTTAGAAAAGCTGGCCCGAACACGTCCCGGTTTGAAACTGATTAAATTTGTTTAAAAAAAATTAAATTATTTATATTTTTAGCAAATTGAACCCGCAACCAAATATATAGAAGCCGAGCAAAAAACTTTACCGTCAAACTATGTTTTAATTTTTTTTTATTTCAAAAATTAATATATATCTATCTATATATATATATGTTAAAATTTAAATATTAAATTTAAAAACTGGGCCAAGCCAGGCATGACCCCAAATATTTTGGGCCTATTATTGGAAGTCCAAACAAGATTTTAGTGAAAAAATATAAATGTTTCCAAAGAAAAAATTATAAGATTATTGAAGAATGAAATTCTTCCGGATTTAGATTTCACTGGTCTTGGTATTTGTGTGGATTGTATAAAAGGAAAACAAACAAAACACACAAACAAAGAAGCCACAAGAAGCATGCAGCTTCTTGAAATAATACACACTGATATTTGCGGACCATTTGATGTTTCCTCTTTTGGAAAAGAAAAATATTTCATCACATTCATTGATGACTTTTCACGTTATGGTTATGTCTATCTATTACATGAGAAATCTCAGCCAGTAGACGCTCTAGAAGTGTTTATTAATGAGATTGAAAGACAACTAGATAAAAAAGTAAAAATCATCACATCTGATAGAGGTGGTGAATATTAAAGAAAATATAATGAATCGGGTCAATGCCTGGGTCCGTTTGCCAAATTTCTTGAAAAGTGTGGCATATGTGCTTAATACACTATGCTAGGTACACCACAACAAAATGGTGTAGTTGAAAGGCGTAATCGAACACTCTTGGATATGGTTAGGACTTAGGAGTATGCTCAGTAATTCTTCACTGCCAATATCGTTGTGGATGCATGCACTTAAAACTGCCATTTACTTATTAAATAGGATTCCTACTAAAGCAGTTCCTGAAACTCCCTTTGAGTTATGGACTGGCAGAAAACCTAGTTTAAGGCACCTGCATGTTTGGAGTTGCCCGACAGAGATAAGAGTTTATAATCCACATGAAAAAATGTTAGACTCAAGGACGATAAGTGGTTTCTTCATTGGTTATCCCGACAAGTCTAAAGGGTATAAGTTTTATTGTCCTCATCATAGTACAAGAGTTATTGAAGCTGGAAATGCAAAGTTCATTGAGAATGGCGAAGTTAGTGGGAGTCAAGAATCTCGAAAGGTTGACATTCAAGAAGTTAGGGTGCACATTACTGTACCACTGACTCCTAATAATGTTGTTGTTCCTCCTGTTGTTGAACCTCCTAACACTGGACACGAACAACAAATTAACGAACAATTGACCCACAATAAAGATAATGAACTTGTAGTAGATGAACCACGTGAAATAGTGTTGCGAAGGTCTGTAAGAAAAAGATGCCCTGCTATTTCCAATGATTATGTGGTATACCTACAAGAGTTTGAATGTGATTTAGGACTCAATGACGATCCAGCTTCATTTTGACAAGCCATGGAAAGTAATAATTCTAATAAGTGGTTAGATGCCATGAATGATAAGTTAAATTCTATGAAGCATAATGATGTTTGGGATCTTGTCGAGTTGCCTGAAGGTTGTAAACGAGTCAGGTGTAGATGGGTCTTCAAGACCAAACGCGACTCAAATGGCAACATTGAAAGATACAAGGCCATACTAGTTGCCAAGGGTTTTACTCAGAAAAATGGTGTTGATTATAATGAGACATTTTCACCAATCTCTAAGAAAGATTCGTTTAGAATTATCATGGTTTTGGTGGCTTATTATGATTTAGAGTTACACAAAATGGATGAGAAAATAGTCTTTTTAAATGGAAATTTGGATGAGGAAGTTTATATGGAGCAACCTAAAGGCTTCTCCATTACAGGAAAGGAAAATATGGTGTGTAAACTTAAGAAATCAATTTACGGGCTTAAACAAGCTTCCCGACAGTGGTATCTCAAGTTTCATGATACCATAACTTCTTTTGGATTTAATGAAGACACCGTCGATAGATGTGTGTATCTGAAAGCCATTGGGAGCAAGTTTATTTTTCTGATCATATATGTTGATGATATCTTGCTTGCAACGAATGATCTTGGTTTATTATGTGATACCAAGAATTTTCTCTCTAAAAACTTTAAAATAAAGGATATGGGTGAGGCATCCTATGTGATCGGAATAAAAATATTCCGTGATAGATCACAAGGATTGTTAGGATTGCCTCAAAAGGCATATATCAACAAAGTTTTGAAGAGATTCAGAATTGAAAAATGCTCTTCTAGCGTCGTTCCAATTCAGAAATGGGACAAATTCAGTCTCATGCAATGTCCACAGAACAAATTGGAACGCAATAAAATGAATGGAATTCCTTATGCATCAATTGTGGAAAGTCTGATGTATGCGCAGACTTGTACGAGGCCAGACATCAGCTTTGCTGTTGGAATGCTTGGTCGATACCAAAGCAATCCGGGATTAGATCACTGGAAGGCCGCAAAGAAAGTGTTGAGATACCTGCAAGGGACAAAAGACCACATGCTTACATCCAGGAAGTCTGATTGTCTAGAGGTGGTTGATTATTCAGATTTGAGTTATGCTGAATGTGTTGATACCATAAAATCCACTTTTTGATATTTGTTCCTACTAGCCGGATGAGCAATATCATGGAAAAGTGCGAAGCAATTTGTCATAGTTGCATCCACTATGGAAGCTGAATTTATGGCATGCTTTGAGGCCACAGTTCAAGGAAATTGGCTGCGAAACTTTATTTTGGGGCTTGGAGTAATTGGCAATATTTTCAAGCCACTAAAAATTTATTGCGATAATTCCACAGCAGTTTTCTTATCAAAGAACGACAAGTACTCCAAAGGTGCAAAACATATAGATCTAAAGTACCTTGCCGTTAAAGAAGAGGTTAAGAAACAAAAGATGTCAATTGAGCATATTAGCACCAATCTTATGATTGCGGATCTGTTAACTAAAGGATTACCTCCAAAGACATTTATTGCACATGTTGAAAGAACGTGCATTATGAATGTAATTTCATGAACATTATGTTTATGTATTTGACATCTCGAGCTCCCTTATGCATTGTTTCTGAAATTGAATATTTTCTTGTTCATTTATTTGTGCGCATTACTGTTTGAACAAGATGCAGTCTATCTTAGACATTAAAGTGGACCATTATCAATGTTTCCAATTATGAATGAATTAAGTAGAAAATTAGTATGTGGTACATGGAAGGAACTATGTCGATTCAATGACGTAGAACCGTCATTACTCATATTAGTATATACTTAATGAATAATGTTGGACTTGTACCAATAAAGTTTATTATTTTATTTAAACCATGAAGACATGTTCAGTCACTCGGCCAAGTGGCAAAATGTATGATATGACCTCATGTCACTTATTAATTAATGGTTTAAATATAATAAAATTAATAATAGATTTAATAATAATAATAATAATAATAATAATAATAATAATAATAGAATTTGTCTAGTCAAATTAAAAGTTGTTTAAAACCACTTTATCATTATTCCACGTTAATAGAACGTGGGATAATGATTTTTAACGTAAAGGATTCTGGTCCTCCCTGTGCCTATAAAAGGTCAGAACAAATCTATTCTATCACACACAAAATATTTTTATGTGTTCTGGCATTGAGGCTAAGAGGGAGAAACCAGAAAATCCAACTCACGTCCTAACCAGAGGATCCAACTCATCGTCCCAATCAGAAAATCCAACTTATCGTTCTGTATGCGAGAATGGTTCCCAACCAAGGTCAGTTTATAAGTATATAGCATATACATATCTCATTGATTTTTTGAGAATCATAAAGTTCAAAGTCTGCGAATTAATCGATTATATTTTATTTTAAACTTACAAAAAGATGTCTCTCGAGACTGATTTCCTTCGCTCCCGAGTTGGAGAAGAACAAACGGTTGCTCATGGTGGCAGTAGCCAGATTCTGCCGCCAATGGTAGCTTTTCGTAAAGGTGAAGGATTTGATTTTCCTAGAGAAAATTGTCTTGTTTTGCAATGTTATGTTGAAGAATTGCATCAAAATTGATTTGAAGGAGTAGAGAATGGCGATGAAAATTATAGCTTCAATTTTGAAATGATTTGAAGATGAGAGAATCCAATTGCAAACCGTCGTAGCCGAATTTCTCGAACTAATGATGAAGCTTTCAATTTCAAATTTTGATTCATCTCATGTATTCAAAGAGATTTACTCCAAGCTTTTGTGATTAGTCTCCACATTCAATACCGAATTACATATAAACGGCTATGTGTAATTGAACACAGGCGTGTTGGTCCAAGTCAGATGCCAAATTATAATATGTTATGTCCACGTCAACGAATACCTTTAATTTTGTAAGGATAGGACCAAAAATGATTGATATAATTTATATGGACTACAATTGATTAATTTTTTATAATGTGACCAAAATTTATTAATTTTGATATCAATGAGACTAGTTTGGATTTTTTCCCTTGAATTATTATTAATTCAAACTTAACTGGATATAAGATTTACACCAAAAACACTTTTCAATGGTCAACAACAGAGCATATTCACCATTTACCCTGTTGAGATATTTTAGTTAGGAAAAAATAAATTTTGGTCCAAATATAAAAAACTCATTAATTTTAGTTTCATTACAAACAATTTCAATCAATTTTGGTACCACCGTTAAAAAACTCATTTAGTTCCATTATTAACAATTTCCATCAATTTTGGTCCCACCGTTAAAAAACTAACGGAAATGGCTGACGTGGAAACTACAGAGCCATGTACAATTATATACGACCATGTTGTTACAAGACCATGTATATTTCAGTGTATAATTATACAAAACTATGTTTTTACACGGTTATATATAATTCTACATGACGGTGTACCTTTATGTTTTGATCTAAAATTTTATTTTTTTGTTATATTTTTTTAAAAAATATATTTTGAATTTAAAATAGTTGATATAGTTAAAATAAAAAAAATAATAGTAATTCTAATATAATTAAAATGTTAGTTCAAATATAAAAATTTATCAAGTATGTTGTTTTGAAATATTTTGTCTAAAAAATTCTACTATTTACCAACAAAATTTCTCTTAAAAATATTCAATTACACAACTATTTTTTATTTTTGTATATTATAGTATTAAAAACTAATTTTACATTTAACACAATTATATATGTATATGTTGAAATTGTATTACAATGTAAAATAATTTTTAGTATAATATAAAAAATAAAAAATAGTTGTGTAATTTGATTTTTGTAAGTAGAAAAATTTTGATAAATAGTAGAATTTTAGGCAAAATCTTTCAAAAGAACATATCCTTCAAATTTTTATATTTGAATTAAAATTGATACATTTTAATTATATTATGATTACTATTGATTTTTTTCCATCTTAACTATATCGACAATTCTAAATTCAAAATAATTTTTTTTAAAAAAAATATAACAAAATTTTTTTTTTTTAGATCAAAACAGAAAAATACGTGGTCGTGTAGAATTAAACATGGCCATGTGAAAACATAGGCGTTTATAATTGTACACTGAAATATGCATGGCCATGTAACAATATGGCCGTATATAATTTTACATGGTCGTGTAGTTTCCAGGTCAGCTACCACGTCAACTCCGTTATGTCCACGTCAATAATTTTCATTACTTTTTTCAATGGTGGGGCCAAAATTGATTGTAATTTTTTATAATGAGACTAAAATTGATTGAAATTATTTATAATTGGACTAAAATTTATGAGTTTTTATATTGAGACCAAAATTGATAAATTTTGGTTATATTTGGACCAAAGTTGATTTTTTCCGTTATAGTTATTTATAGATTTAAATTAAAATTTGTTTTTATCCCTAAACTAGATTATTTAGATTTAAATCGAGTCTGTATATATTATATTATGCATGTTTATAGACCTCTATTTTGGTTATCAATAACAATGCAAATTTTTAAATTTATTTCTCACATGGTATTAGAGCCTACTTTTTCGGCCGTAGATATAGCCTACGAACCCGCATTTCTCCGGGTATATTCAACCTGTGCATTTGTCTGCTATCTGCCTGCTGCGTTTCTTTAGTTCCATTCTTTCCGACTCCATCAAGAGTGTCACTGTTTCTGACTCCATTGAGAGTGTCATTGTTTCCAATTCCATCGAGAGTACCGTTGTTTTCAACTCCATTGAGAGTGACGTTGTTTCTGACTCCACCGAGAGTGCCGTTATTTCTGACTCCATCGAGAGTGTCGTTCTTTTCAACTCCATTGAGAGTGTCCATGTTTCCGACTCCATCGAGAGTGTCGTTATTTCCAATTCCATGAAAGTGTCGTTGTTTCCAACTCCATTGAGAGTGCCGTTATTTCCGACTCCATTGATAACCAAAAATCGCATGCGTTAAATATTCATATTATTTACTATATTTGGTTTATTTTGATTAGATTCTACCTGATTTAGGTATATATTATTTATTTATAAATACGTAATATATACCCAAATCAGGTAGAATCTAATCAAAATCAACCAAATATAGCAAATAATATGAATTTTTAATGTATGCGATTTCTGGCTATCAAATCCCAAAATTTGACATACGGTCATCACACGCTGCAAAATTTAAATAAAATAAACCTACTTCTACAATAAAAATAACGTAGTATAGATGAAGTAGAGTCGTCTCCCCAGGGAATTAAAAAGGTTTTATTTTTTATTGTTTAATTTATAAATATAATAAAAGGGGGGATTTTTTGAAGTAGGAAATAAAAATAAAATAAAAAACTAAAAACTCTAAGATTAAAATATAAATTTAATAAAAATAAGTTTCCAGTCTAAGAATGAAATTGACAACTTGGATAGTGGATTTGATCATCGATAAATATTTAATTTTATTGGTTTCTAAATAAATTAGTTATATTTACCGACACGCACCTAATAAAAAAATTTTCCTTAATTTCTCGACAGTTTAGGCACGCCCGTCAACTACTTTCCTAGTTAGACTATAACCCTAGTGACGCCACAACGAATTTACTAGTCTAACTGCCTTGCGAATTAGAAGAGTCTAATTCAATTTCACAATTACCAATGCAAATTGTTTAAAATTGATTATTTGATTTCCTAGTGGTGTCTGCCCCTAGTTGCTACTTGAACCAAATTTAAACGTAATTACAAACGCCTACTTCAGTTTAGCAGTCAATCTTCAATTCAATTGAAATATCCGGCAAAATACACAACTAAAATAAAAATTATAAATAAAAGAAATAAGAAACCACATAAATACTTGGGAACCAAAGAAATGTTATAAATTAAAACAAGTCTATTATCCCAAATCTATATCAAGTTATTTTTCACTTCTAGATTAGGAAAGATAGATCTACTCGCTAATCATTGGAGGACGAACAAAAAAAGGAAAGATCTTATTTGCTGCTTCTGCCCGACCATTAGCTTGTGGATAATAGGGATATGAATGATGCAGCCGAATATAAAAACCAGCCAGAAATTCGACGAACTTCTCCCCAGTAAAAGCCAAACACTGATCGGAGCGTCACGATCATGAGGTAAGCAGCATGGAAGCATCGTCTGAGAATGATGTTGGTAGGGGTAGAACTCGAAATCTTTTTGGAGGAATCTTTCTCCTTCTTGCCCATGCGCGGTTTCTCCCTGGGATTGTTCTGCACGGTGTTCTCCTCCTTGTTGTTAATGTGGCAAGTCGCCCCTCCTCCTTCTTTCTTTCCTTTATATTTGCCCTAATTTTATAATAATTGGGCTTTGGGCCTTTTTGTTCTCTTTTCCCTTCAATTCTACCAATTTTATTATTTTTCTCCTGCAAATCATAAATAAATAATATATATCCAAATAAGGTAGAATCTAATCAAAATCAACCAAATATAGCAAGTATTATGAATATTTAATGCATGCGATTTCTGGCTATGATACATCGAGAGTGTCATTATTTCCGATTCCATCGAGAGTGTTGTTGTTTCTGACTCCATCAAGAGTGCCGTTATTTCCGATTCCATCAAGAGTGTCGTTGTTTACGACTCCATCGAGAGTGCCGTTATTTTCGACTCCATTGAGAGTCATGTTATTTTTTACTTCATCGATAGTGCTTTTGTTTCCGACTCCGTCATGAATCCCTTTGTTTCCGAATCTAATTCATTAAAGGACGAACAAAAAAGGAAAGATCTTATTTGCTGCTTCTGTCCGACCGTTAGCTTGTGGATATTAGGGAGATGTATGATGCATCCGAATATTAAAACCAGCCAGAAATTCGACGAACTTCTCCCCAGTAAAAGCCAAACCCTGATCGGAGCGTCACGATCATGAGGTAAGCAGCATGGAAGCATCACCTGAGAATGATGTTGGTAGGGGTAGAACTCGAAATCTTTTTGGAGGAATATTTCTCCTTCTTGCTCTTGCCCGATTTCTCTCTAGGACTGTTCTGCACGGTGTTCTCCTAGTTGTTGTTAATGTGTCAAGTCGCGCCTCCCTCTTCGTTCTTTCATTTATATTTGCCCTAATTTTATAATAATTGGGCTTTGGGCCTTCTTGTTCTCTTTTCCCTCCAATTCTACCAATTTTATTATTTTTCTCCTCCAAATCATAAATAAATAATATATACTCAAAACAGGTAGAATATAATGAAAATCAAAAAAATATAGCAAATAATATGAATATTTAACGTATGCAACTTCTGGCTATGATACATCGAGAGTGCCGTTATTTCCGATTCCATCAAGAGTGTTGTTGTTTCCGACTCCATCGAGAGTGCCGTTATTTCCGACTCCATCGAGAGTCATGTTATTTTCGACTTCATCAATAGTGCTTTTGTTTCCGACTCCGACGTGAGTCCCGTTGTTTCCGACTCTAATTCATTGGAAGATGAACAAAAAAAGCAAAGATCTTATTTGTTGCTTCTGCCCGACCGTTAGCTTGTGGATAATACGGAGATGAATGATGCAGCTGAATATTAAAACCAACCAGAAATTCGACGAACTTCTCCCCAGTAAAAGCCAAACCCTGATCGGAGCGTCACGATCATGAGGTAAGCAGCATGGAAGCATCGCCTGAGAATGATGTTGGCAGGGGTAGAACTCGAAACTTTTTTGAAGGAATCTTTCTCCTTCTTGCTCTTGCCCGATTTCTCCCTTGGACTGTTCTGCACGGTGTTCTCCTCCTTGTTGTTAAGGTGGCAAGTCGTGCCTCCCCCTTCTTTCTTTCCTTTTTATTTGCCCTAATTTTATAATAATTGGGCTTTGGGCCTTTTGGTATCTTTTCCCTCAAATTCTACCAATTTTATTATTTTTCTCCTGCAAATCATAAATAAATAATATATACCCAAATCAGGTAGAATCTAATCAAATTCAACCAAATATAGCAAATAATATGAATATTTAATGCATGCGATTTCTGGCTATGATACATCGAGGGTGTCGTTATTTCCGATTCCATCGAGAGTGTCGTTGTTTCCGACTCCATCGAGAGTGTCGTTATTTCCGATTCCATCGAGAGTGTCGTTGTTTCCGACTCCATCGAGAGTCATGTTATTTTTCTGACTCCATCGAGAGTCATGTTATTTTTGACTTTATCGATAGTGCTTTTGTGTCTGACTCCGTCGTGAGTCCCTTTTTTTCCGATCTAATTCAGTTGACAACATTGCTTTTAATTGCACATTGGACGATTGTGGCTGCATTATCTTCGGTCTTTGTTTGCAAACACAACTTGTTTTTCCAAACCACTTAGTTCGAGAGAATGTTATATTTTAGTTATTTAATTTTAGTTTTAAATTTGATATTTTGTTTATCTATAGACCAGGTTATCTAAATTTAAGTCTATATATTCGGCCTATTTATAAATAACAATTCAATTTTTCAGTTTTCTTAATTTATTTCTCACACACCCTTTGTAAGGGGTAAAACGAATTTGCAAGCAAAGATTACTTTCTTAGCAAAGATTACTTTCTTAGCAAAGATTACTTTCTTCGAGGAAGACCACGAAACATATTGCCTTAATAGGATGGGTGTTTTGTAACCGAAGATGATGAGTAAATTAATTGGGACTTTTTCAATTGCAATGAGACAATTATATTACTCATCATAAGTCAAATTATAAAATCCATTAAAAACCATAAATGAAAACTAAAAACCACGTATGAGGACACCTATCTCATAAGAGCTGTAAAAATGCTTATTGGTGCAGTTCTCCAAAATTACTCTTTATCACTCTGAGAATCTGCAGAACAGCTTCTCTTGGGAAAGGTAGAACAGATTCTAAAAAGATGTCTGAAAGTTGTAATCCTTCCTTCGTTTAATGTGTTTTTCAAAATAGGTGTCAAAATTATTAAACAATCAGCCCAGTGATGAAAATCTCCCTGCATACACTCAAATCCGAACCAATAAAGAAGTATAGAGAAATACAATACTAACTGGTCAGAGTTCGTGAACTCATCTTATCAAACTCCCAGGAAAAACTTTTAAGTGGTTCTTCTATATTCTTTAGTGGTGTGGCGTTAACACCTCAATACATGTCTAAAACTAAAAGTAGCAATAACAAGCAACATTGCAAAAGTTTACAAAAAATGTGATTCAGAAAATGCATGTTTTCCCACGCATATACCATCCCATTGTAAATTCCAGAAACCTACAGGGAAGCACCTATCAACATATCATGAATTGAGTATGAACATCTCTGCAACATTCTAATTCCACTTGGAGTTCCAAAAAAAAAAAAAAAGTAGAAGAAGTGTTCCTGTGGATGGATGCTCTTTATCTTAAATCCCTGCAAGAAAATAAGTATACTCTGCTTCTGTTCTATAATGTGGGCGATAAGAATGGTATCTTTTAAGTCAAGGGCTATGGATTCTTCTTTATCTTCAACTTAGTAGCTGATGGGGAAGAAGGAGATCGACGATCTAGGCTAGAAGAAGATCTGAGAATGAACAGAAGTGTCTCGACCAGCATGGCGCCAACCAAACCAAGGATGCCCCCAGCAGCATTCTGATGAATAAAGGTTAACAAATCCAATATCCATTAATAAATGATAATCATGTATCACAATGCACCATTAATGTTCTGAAAAGTTACCATAGCTTGACTGTGGTTAAACAAGGCTCTGAATGCGTCGTATCCAACCAAGTAAGCGGTAAAGATTGTTACCGCAACATGAAGTCCTGTAAATATTGCACTTCAATTACGCTGCAGATACAAGTAAAAATGTTTGCAAGAAATCGACCCACAAGATTAGAAACTTGACATCAGCCAAAAGCAAGTGAATTTTGAGGGGTAAAATTTTGAGCACGGCATATGGAAAGTACCCAGCTTGCAACATGGATGAGAGGAAAATTAATGCACCAAAAATGTAGAACTTAGCTAAGAAGAAACCAAATTATTAGAAAGAGATTTAAAGATATTCTAAGTAAGAAATGCTGCTGAAAAGTAGACTGAAAAACTACCCCTTTCAAGGTCCGAACTAGCATTTGTCTATGTGTAATTGATTCTTTTATCATCGTCTCTTCTAGGTTCTTTGGTAATCCAGAGAAGAATGCGGCGGCCATGTAAGAAGTGAGAATAGAAAAGTTTGGTGATCAAACAATACGTCAAACAACAATTCGGATTGATATTCAAATAGATTCGCATACAGACTCCAAGTAGATCTATATTTGATGCATTTCAAATTTACAGTTGGTCTCTCTTATTTGTAGGATCATTAACTTGGAACAGACGTCAAACAACAATTCGGATTGATATTCGAAAGCTCCCTCTCAAAACATAATGACATTAAGTTTTGAATGTTTTTCATTTTATTCCAGAAAGAAATTATATTTAAGGTGCAAAGTATATATGAGCATGACATGAAGTAATCAAATGAGATGTATACGAGATCAATGGCGAAACAAATACACAGAAAGTAATAAAACATTTACCAAAGCCCAACTGATCCTTGTACGAAGAAAAAGGTTTCTCCACACCCTTTTTAGGCGTGATGTCCTTCACCAATTCATCATATGCCTTCCTCTCAACAGTTTCCTGTAGCTTTTTAAGTCTCACCTTCAATTCCTTGTTGAATAAACTTAAATGTATTTTTAATTGGGTGTTAAATTGGGTGGTTAGGGGATATTAATATATATATATATAATGCATGAGAATGTGGTTAGTGGATATTAAAAATATATAATGGGTGTGGAAGATGTTACCCTAGAATAATGTCATTTATGTTAGGATTAATTATGGTTTTAATTTGTGAAGTATCCCATGTCTTTTTGTGTGCTTTAAAATGTAGTCTGTTGGTGTATTTTTAGTATGTGATGTAAGGATTAATTTGAGAGATAAAAACAAGTATTTTGTTTTCATACTTTAGAGTGTGTTTGTGTGTTTTGTCTCCATAATTTTGTGTCTGTATTGGTGTGTGTGCTTGTCTCCACATTCAATATTTTACAAATTGGTATCAGAGCCGATGGCAAATGTGATGGGTCAAATATCGTTACCACGTTTGACGAAGGCAAATTACGAGAATTGGAGTATTCAAATGAAAGCGCTTCTTGGATCTCAAGATGCATGGGAGGTAGTTCATGAAGGTTTCGAAGAACCGGCGAGTACGGCGGGATATACGGTGGCTCAACAGAAGGCGTTGAAAGAGACGCGATCAAAGGATAAGGCTGCATTGTACTTGCTGTTCCAAGCTGTTGATGAGTCGGACTTTGAGAAGATTGCTGGTGCAACAACTTCAAAAGAAGCGTGGGACATTTTAGAAAGAACATTCAAAAGAGCCGACCGTGTCAAGCAAGTGCGCCTCCAAACTCTTCGTGGCGAGTTGGAAAGCATGAAGATGAAGGATTCTGAAAGTGTGTCCGACTATATTACTCGCGTGCAATCCATGGTCAACCAGCTCGTTCGCAATGGAGAAAATTTAACCAATGCGTGAGTTGTAGAAAAAATTTTAAGATCATTAACCGATAATTTTGAGATGTTGTATGCGCGATAGAAGAGTCGAAAGACCTGAAAACACTCACGGTAGATGAACTTGCTGGTTCTCTTGAGGCACATGAACAACGCAAGAAGAAAAAAAAGGAGGAGACACTTGAGCAAGCGCTTCAAACCAAGGCGTCACTTAAAGAAGATAAGGTATTGTACTCTCAAAATTTCCGAGGAAGAGGGTGTGGATGTGGAGTTCGTGGAAGTGGTCGTGGTGGTCAAGGCAACAATCATGAAGAGGGACAATCAAGCCAACCGAATTGGTGGGGTAGCGGACGTGGTCGAGGAAGAGGCGGCCAATCGAGCTATTATAACATTGAGTGCTACAAGTGTCATAGGTATGGTCACTATGCAAAGGATTGCAATTTTGATAAATGTTATAATTGTGGTAGAGTGGCGCATTTTGCAAAAGATTGTCAAGCCGAAAAAAGGATAGAAGAAACGACTAACCTAGCCGTGGAAGATGAAGAAAAAGAAGGCTTTCTCTTTATGGCTCAAAAAGAAGGCAACATCAACAATGAAACTTTGTGGTACCTCGACTCGGGGGCTGGCAACACATGTGCAGACACAAACACCTATTCAAGGAGCTGCAAGAAATTGAAGATGGTTACGTGTCATTTGGAGATCCATCAAAAGTAGAAGTCATAGGAAGAGGTACGATTCATTACTTACAAAAAGATTGCTTGATTGGGTCAATCCAAGATGTTTATTATGTACCAGATCTGAAGACAAACATTTTAAGTATGGGGCAACTGATAGCATCCATTGGACGCTATCTTTTATATTAAAACCTTCGCTACATCTCGATTTATATATAGAAAATTTATGAGGTTTGGAGCATATGTTTCAGGTTGAAAAAAATAACAAAGACGGAGATAACGTGATGGGAGTGTAAGAGTTAAATAAGATGAGCAATGTGCAGGCAGACAGAATATAATAATAATAATTAGGGATTTGGTGTTGATAGTCTCTGCGCATAGTCTCGGTGAAGAAGTTGGAAAATTAAAGACGCGATTCTTCAGAGAAACGTTGTACGAAGGGAAAAAGAAGCAATCGATTTGACGGGAAAAAGAGAGAAGAAAAAAAAAAAGATAAAAATTTGAATTCAGAGAATCTCTCGTGTGGATGCATGCAATACTTTTCTTCATCCTTGTACGACGTGTTTTTTTCTTTTCTTGCCCTAGATTAGGAAGTTATGTTAGAAGATTGCCACATTAGTTTTAGTTTAGGAATTTAAGTTTCGCGACCGGATTGAATCTATATATATATATTTCATCCTGCAATCAAAGACGAGAGTTGGATTGGATCTTGAAGTATTAAATTGTTAATAACATCCCGGAAGTACTGATATTAATTAATGAAAGCTAAATATTTATTTTGTTCTTGAATTAAAATTTAAATTTCTACATACATTTAATTGATGTGTTGATTGTTGGGAAATAAAAATTATTTAAGGATATGAGTACTAGATTCAGGAACGTATTCGGTTATATATGCAAATATTAATAATGGAAATTTGTCGGGAGACTATTTCCATTCGTTATTCTTAATAGTGTGTCTCATGATCTTGGGAAAGATACAAAACACAATTAAGAAATTATATTCATGAATAAGAGAATAATAAATTGTTGTGAATAATTTGAATTTTAATCCAAGTTGCTGAATTTTCTATAATATTCCTAATATGTATTAAATTCCAGAATATGTTTAATTTTACTCCGGATAAAATGATGAATTGGTTGGATGTAATTCATAAGTTTTAATGGTTTTATTCTCAAGTTAAATGAACTATTAATTATCTTATAACTAGTACCATTTATGAGAATGTTGCAAACTTATAGCGTTTGACTTGAATTGCTTTCATGTCGGGAGATAGGAATGCATAAAATATGTTGAATCTGAAGTTTCATAATGACATTAAAATTTGTTGAATCTGAATCATTATATCATATATTTCATTATAATCTAGCAGGTTATGCAATCTTTGATTAATAGAATTTAGTTGCTTATATTAATTTTCTGTAATTTAGGAATTCAAATTGTCAAATCGATGTTTATTTATTTTAACTCAACTCAATTAATCTTTAAATGACATAAAATTTCCAGAATGTGAATGAATACATTTAATTCCCTGTGGATTCGACTTGGTATACTTACCGATTTAATTATTACTTGATGCGATATGGTACACTTCTGATAAATTGCAATAATATCGTATAATGAATTAATAAACATATCGTATAATGAATTAATAAACATATGTTCACAATATGAATTAATCCCATCAATTCTCAATAAACGCGGAGTCAATAAGTATAAGCAAGCAAGTTCTAGGTAGTCAAATACAACATATGTTCACACAATCCAAAAAAATTGAGCATATATGATATGTATGAGTGAATTTGCTCAAATAAGGCTTAAATAACTCACTTAAGGTTCTTTGTTAGAAGGCTAAGCACACTCGTCATCTAACTTCATCAACAAATACGGCAAGATCCTAATGAACTAAGTAAGCACAACAACCTCGGCTCAAAATACACAAGAGAACATGCAGGGAAGTTATCAAAATAAATCATTATATAACATCAAAAGTTCCAATCAAATCTTTTTTCTCTTAAAAACTTTACTAAACTGCACAACCAACCGGTCTCCAAGATTAACCCTAATGCCACTAGTCATGCACCATAGAAAGAAAAATTCAGTTTTAGTAACAATACTGGAGGTACTCTTACGCCCGGATATAAATGAAGCAATGAAACACTGTATATAACGAAGGGCGGGGTCCTTCAGTCTACGGGCAGGCATATTATTGTCAAAACAAACTTTTCCATCCACAGATAATTCACTCCATAATTTCTCGACTAAAACAGAAAAGGGCTCAACAAACGCACATGCAGCGGTACTGAAAGAATCATCCTCAAGCTCCTCGGAAGTCACAAAACCTAAATGTAAATTAAATTCTGCTAAAGAAAGCTTAAACACTTTAACAAGCAAACGGAATCTAATTACAATAGGTTGCATTACATCAAATTGTTTAGGCAAGTCAAACACAAATGTAGAGAATAATTTAAGGGCAAGTTCAATGAAACCAGATTGTTAATAAGTAAATAAACAACTCCAACCAATGCTAGATATGTAATCGAAAACATCTTTAATGCCTAACTTCTCAAGTGTTTCAACGTGAATGCACTTACCCGAGAAAATGCTCTTAGTGCACAAAAGTTCGTACCTTGTCTGTTCCTCGGGTGTGAAAGAATGTAAATGGCCCCCAACTTGAGTTGGAGGCAACACTTGAACTGAGTTACCTTTTTGCGTCCGTGCATTGGTGGGTGCAAAAGTAGGAAAATCGACTGGAATTGTGGGCATTGTGTTACCCGCATCTTTGCCTCGCAATCCCTCAATGCCTGTTCCTTTGTTCTTTTGCGTCCTCTCGTCTTTGAAATAGTCGAAGACCTCGTAGCCATTGGAACCCTTGCGGTAACCGAATCCGATGCCAACACTTTAGTCATAATGTCTGCACGCCAGAAAATTCAACAACTAAATAACAAGTCCTCAATTAACCCCAACACCAAGAACAATTTCACAATAAACATTCAAATGTTATTCGACAATCTCAATCACCCAATAATCTCTCCCAATAATCTATATGCATCCATTTATCGATTGCATCAAAGAACCTCTACGAAAATCGCCCAAATTAAATTTTTCATCGTCAACTTATTTTATATAATATATAGGCAATAATCGATAGAGGTTTCTCAAGAGAATGCAATATAGATCAAGAGTAAATGACTTTTCCTGAAATTTCCACCGGCGACTCGCGGCTGATGGTCAGCGGCAGCGCAGAACAGCAGCGGTTGGAGCTTGGGAGCAGCGCGCGGCGGAGGATGCGGTTTGAACCGGACTGATGATGGCTTGGCGGCTTCAGCGTGCCGGCTTGGCGGAGGAGGCCCACTGGAGGCGGTGGCTGCTGCTACTGGCGGACGGGGGCGGCTAGCGGAGGTGCAACGGTTCGAACCGGCCTGTGGAGAGAGGGGGAGAGAGGAGGCAGTCAGGCGGCTGAGAGAGAGAGACAAAAATAATTAGGTGTAATAATAATAATAATAATAATAACTTAATTGTAATAATAAATATAGTAATAAATATAGAAATAAAAAATTAGAATTTAATTACTATAATAATAATTATAATTATAGAAATAACAAATTTAATAATTATAATAATAAATATCATAATAATTATAATTATAGACATAGTAATAAATATAATAATAAGATTAATATAGTAACTATAATACAAAATATATATATAATAAAAAAAAGTTTAATAACTATAATAATATTTATTATAGAAATAATGATAAATATAGTAATATTAAA